ACCAATTCACAAAAAGAACATTGGGGAACTGGAGAAAGTACATAGAAGGGCAACTAAACTGATAAAAGACATGGAGGAGTTCAGCTATGAGGAAAGATTAGAGGAACTGAATTCATTCTGCCTTGAGAAGAGGAGATTAAGAGGGGATATGATCAACATGTATAAATACATCAGTGGTTCATATAGTGAACTCGGTGTAGACATTCACCCTGAGGTCATCACAGAGGACAAGGGGGCACTCTTTACGTCTGGAGCAGGGGTGCAACTTGCGGCTCTCCAGCTGTTGCAGACTACAAAATCCATCATGCCTCTGCAAGTCATAGCTGTAACTGTCAGTTTTGTAATGTTGCAATGCCTCATGGGAAATGTAGCACTGGAGAGCCGCAGGTTGCCTACCCCTGGTCTGGAGGAAAAGAAATTTAATCTCCAAACACGGAAAGGTTTCTTCACAGTGAGAGCTGTGAAAATGTGGAACAGACTCCCTTAAGAGTTGGTTCTGGCCAGCTCAGTGGATTGCTTTAAAAAAGGCCTGGATTGTTTCTTAGATACATAGAATATAACTGGATACTAACATTTATAGGTAAAGTTGATCCAGGGAATATCCGATTGCCTCTCGGGGGATCAGGAAGGAATTATTTTCCCAGCAGGTGCAAATTGGATCATGCTTTCCTTGATTTTTTTTTTGCCTTCCTCTGGACAGGGGCGGACTGACCATTTGAAAACTCGGGCACTGCCTGAGGGCCCGGGGTCAGTACGGGGCCCCATGAGATGCCCCTGGTACCTTTTTCATAGGCTTTTTTGAGTTTGGGCAAGGACACAGGGGCCCCATGATCCCCTATTGCCCGGGGGCCCCATGAGTTGTCAGTCCGCCCCTGCCTCTGGATCAACTGTGGTTATAGGATTATAACTTTTTTTCTTTTCTTTGGTTGAACTGGATGGACTTCTGTCTTTTTTCAGCTAAACTATGTAACTATGTAATGAAGTAATTCAAAATAAGAAAGGCTCAGAAAATGTTAGCTTTCTGTCTACATTCTGTTTTGTTTTGTGTTTTTTAAATGAACATTTAGGTTTTTGTGCATTGCTGAAACTCTCACTCATAGCACAGTAATTATTTTTCAGGATACGAGGACCAAGGCAAATGTGTGTATTGTATACTTTAAGTAGTCTCATATTCTAATTAATCATTTCTCTTACAGCAATGCTTAAAATTCTGCATAATGCAGTCGTGCCCAATTTTTTCCATGGCGCATTATATGCATGCCATGTTTATCCTCTCCAGGGTGTCCCTGTTTCTCAATTTCTTATGTTGGGAGGTATGCAAAAACAATTTACAAGTTTATCTAAGGTCACATCTGCATACAACAAGCAGTCACACAAGCTACAGGACAGATTGCAGCCCATTAGTGTGTGCAAAATTAAGCTAATTACTTAATAAGATCTGTCACCTGAATTTCCAAAGCCATCCTCTATAGTCATTACTGCCTCATTCAACTTTGGACCGAAGCTTGCTCCCAGAATCACCCCAGGAACAAACACTATATTTGTACATCTTATTAGCTTTGATGAAAATATATTCAGGCATTCACTCACAGTCAAACTGACCACTGCTTGAAGCATGATAGAAAGAAAAAAGTGACAATGTTAGCTAAAAAACTAAGCTCCAGGCAGATATAAAACACCATTTAATCCAGTTATGTACTAAAAATAATAAGTAATGAAATATTCTGGTTTATTGGCTCAACGCATTGACGGAAAAGGGGCAGCATGACAACTAGGTAATGAGTTTTTGCAGAATGAGCTATCAAGGCCGTTTCCAAGTTCCATCAAGAACAGTTCCCTTATCTCTGAGAAAAGTAAAAATCCCCCTTTGCAGTCGGACCACCTCCGCACTGCAGGGGTTACATGCTTGTTTAGTCTAGTGGACCAACTAAAACTCTTTTACTTACCTGATCCTCCACTCACTCGGCAGCAGGTGCTCTCCTCTTCTCCCTTACCCTCAAGCAGTGGGTTGTTCCTCTGTGTCATCACATCCAGCGCAAGGCTATGTGCTCTGCGTTGTACGTGATGAAGTCAGAGGACCTGCAACAGCTTGAGTAAGGGGAAAAGAGACTGTGTGATCTGGTCTACCAACCTAGAAGGAGCCTGCAGGAGTAGATGATCAGGTAAGTAAATGTGCTTTTTACAGGACCCTAGACCTAAACAAGCACATAACCCCCACAGTGCAGAGACTGCTCCGGTGAAAGGGACAATTTTAACTTTCCCCGGAGTCCAACTTTAAAGCAGATCTACAATAAAAATTCTTAAAGTTGGCTGTCCAGCAGGAATTACTCAGAACAGTTTAATGTGAAAAACCCATATGCTAACAAATGTCCTACTATCATATAAATTCTCAACAGAAGCAGAACAGCACTTTCACATATGTGACCACACCTAGGAAACCTATTCTTCTAGCCTGAAAGAAGCCTGTTAGTACATCATCATGGGCACGCCCTGCTTCTGGATACTGGATTATATTGAAGTTGTCATCACACAAGTGGGTCTATAACCAGAAAGGCTTGTAAGGGGTGAAAGCTTGTACCTTCACTAATATGAAGGTTGCCCCAGTCACTCAGCATTATTGAATGGATAACAAAATGAGCTTAGGTAAAAAAGCTGCTGCAGAATACCTTCTGTAAGTATATTATCATTCACAGCTGACTTGTCTCTTAGGGGTTTATTTACTAAAGCTGGAGAGTCCAAAATCAGACTCCCTTCTGCATAGAAACCAATCAGCTTCCAGGTTTCATTGCCAAAGCTTCATTGAACAAGCTGAGGTTAGAAGCTGATTGGTTTCTATGCAGAAGGGAGTCTGATTTTGGACTCTCCAGCTTTAGTAAATAAACCCCTTAGTGTTTGAAGTATAAAGTGACCTGAGTCCAGGTTCACTTTAAGTACCTGCATCTGTCTTGATATCAGCCTCCTGTAACCACCTGCAGGGTCAGGTCTATTACTTTGGATAACTGTGAACATGCATAAAGGAGGGGAAAACAGTGGGATGATCAGTGTGCTACTGCTTCTTCACTTTTCAGAGGTTGGGGTCTTGAACAAGGTTGAATTACTTAAAGATGTGCTCAAAAAAACAATCAGCGCAGTCCTATGGTGATGCCCACAAAAAGATTGCTGCTAGAACATTAACCAGTGCTTTTCACTACACCTCTCATCAATTATGCATCACATAAAATGCAGCACAATCACAAAAATTAACATAAAGTAATTATAATCAACAAAACATAAAGTCCCATCTACAATATCCTCTTAAGCGTCCATAAAAATCCACCACCAATTTGCTGTAATAATAATCTCTTCAGTTCCTCCAAACTCTAGGTGATACATGCATCTACCCCATCTGCATCCAAATTGCTCATCTTCTTTAATGAACCTCAATATGAATCAAGGTCTCAGTGCACTTGCTGCCTCACCATAAGCTTTTATTTATCCGTGGCCATAGGGAGTGATACTCCTGTTTCCCTCTGACTCTCCACCAGCTCTACTCCACCTCAGGTAGGTTGGCATGTAAAATAAAAAAAACAAAACAAAAATAGTGCTCTCTGTATAGGAATGTTTTTTATTAAAAAGACTCCTCAATAAATAAACTCACAAGCACCCCGAGTGCTATGTGAACAGCTTTATAAAGACATAGGCAAAAATCTACCACCAATGTGCTGTAATGGTAATCTCTTCAGTTCCTCCAAACTCTAGGTAGGTAGTTATACATGTAAAATAAAATGGGACCAAAAATTGTGCTCTCCGTATAATACTCTTTTATTAAAAAACTCCTCAATGGGTAAACTCACATTATAAAAGCACCCCAAGTGCTATGAAAACAGCATTAGAAGAAATAGGTGGCAGCATTCACAGCGAATATAGCTCATCAACTCTGCTCCAGTTTCTATACACCTTATGCTCCCAATCAGAGGTTCATCAATAGGGTTCTACTTTCCTTCTGTTGAAGCTCTGACTGGGGAACGTAACGTATTTAGGAACCAGAACTGAGCTGGTGAGCTATATTCACTGTGGATGCTGCCACCTGTCTTTTAATGCTGTTTACATTGCACTTGGGGTGCTTTTTTAATGTGAATTTGCCCAATTGAGGAGCTTTTTAATAAAAAAGTACTTTACAGAGAACACTATTTTTGGTCTCATTTTATTTTACATGCATACCTACCTGAGGAGGGGTAAAGCTGGTGAAAAGACAGAGGAGAACAGGAGCTCCATTTTCCACGGCCACAGATGCCTAAAAGCCCATGGTGGGGCACTAAGCATACCGAGACCTTGATTCATATTGAGGTCAAATAAAGAAGGTGTGCATATTGGATGCACATGGGGTGGATACATGTATTACCTAGCGGTTGGAGGAACTGAAGAGATTACCATTACAGCACATGGAATTTTTGCCTATGTCTTTATAATGCTGTTTACATAGCACTTGGGATGCTTGGTTTATAAAAGTTTATTGAGGAGTCTCTTTTTTATAAAAAAATAGTTCTTACAGAGAACACTATTTTTGGTTCTGTTTTATTTTACATGTATACCTACCTGAGGTGGAGTAGAGCTGGTGGAGAGTCAGTGGAAAACAGGAGTGTCACTCCCTATCACCAAAGATAACTAAAAGCCTGTAGTGAGGCAAAAAAAGTGCATTGAGACCTTGATTCACATCGGGATCAATTAAAGGAGATGAACGAATTGGATGCATATGGGATGGATGAATGTATCACTTAAAGATGTACTTGAAGTATTGTACATTTTTAGCAACTTTTTACAAAAAGCTCCTTAGACAGTTCCAGATCCCCTAAGTAATACTAAGTAAAAAATGGTGTCAATGAACAGTGATCTGGCTGCTTTACAGTGTCACCATGACATCACAGAGATTTCCATATGTTTGTTTGTAGGAAGGAAAATGGTGTGTGGTGTGGTGTTTTGTGGCATTTATATTATCTGGTGTTTTGCGGCACTTATATTACCTTCATCTCCTGCTTGGTTGTCCTCCCAACTCTTGATGTAATCATCCTAACAAGAGAAAAAAAAAAAAAAAGGAATGGAGTCAATGGTAATAACATTATGTTTACATGTAATTTGATTTACAGATAGAAGATATTTTGTTCTGGTGAGTTTTATTTTTGTCTCTCCAAGCTGTATCTTAAAGGTAACGTCTCTATTGATTTCTGGTCCATTCTAAGCATGAAGTCAGGCATTGAATATATATATATATATATATATATATATATAAAGCATAATATTTAAATATGTCCAAAACAGGGGCGGACTGAGCATTTGGAAACTCGGGCACTGCCCGAGGGCCCAGGGTCAGTAGGGGGCCCCATGAGAAGCCCCTGGTACCTTTTTCATAGGCTTTTTTGAGTTTGGGCAGGGACACAGGGGCCCCATAATCCCCTATTGCCCGGGGGCCCCATGAGTTGTCAGTCCGCCCCTTGTCCAAAAGTAGTTGGCTGCACCAAAACTGGTTGTATGGTTTTTTTTTCTTGCTGATTCCCATGTGCAGTGCTGCACAAATATTTATTGCCTTAGTGATTCATATTAATAAACTCTGGGCACCAACTTAGATGTACAGCATAAAACAATAACAAACAAACACAGTAAACTACAGTAGTAATGGGGTATATGGCACAATATGTGTCGTATGTACATAAATGTCTATGCAGAACAGCAAAAATTTCATACAATCCAGTTGGAGTGTTCAAGATATCCTCCGGCTGATCTCAAAGCATTAGATGCAGCACCTCTGAAGAGACTTAAAGAAGTATAGTCAAAGCTTTTTTCACCTATACTTCTCCTGTAGGTCACAGAAGTGCAGTTCATTCTTCACTCATATGACCCATTTTCAGCTGACAGCAGGCTAAAGTCTGCTGATGGCTGACGTCACAGAGCCGGTCTGGACTTTGACCATATGGATGGGATCCACCCAGAAGCCTGAACCGACACCTGGCTCAAGCTCTCAGTGATCTGCCAAGAGCCTGAGCCATCCCTTCCCGCCTTTCCACAGCCCACCACTCCAGTAAGTGCTCGAGGGGCAGAACAGAGAGTTGGTGACTGAGTCCTCATGCACACTGGACGTTTTTACAGCAGCTGTTTTTGGCTTTTTGATGTTTTTTTCTACAGCCAATAAACTCCCCAGCATGTTATCCTATGAGTCCATGCACACATACAGTAGACTGTAATCAACATTTTTTGGCAGGGAAGTTTTCTGGGTAGAAAAAAACCCAGGACTAGTGGGTTTCTAGATGCGTTTTTTAGCTGTAAAAACGCTCTAATGCTGAAAAACGCGGCAAAATGCGGTAAAACACCACAAGCCAGGATTTTTGGACTTTTTTTGACAAAAAAAAAATTTATTTTTGTAAAAAAAAACACAAACGTGGGAAAAACGTGGGAAAAAACGCCGCTAAACGCTAGTGCAAAAATGCTAAAAAAAAAAGCTGAAAAACTCACGTTTTTAACGTGACTTTACACAACTGACATTAATGTTATCAAAGTGCCCAATGTGCATGGAGCCCTTAAAGTAATTGGCTCGCTCAGTTCTCACTGGAAATCAAATCATCAAATTGATGCTGCATCCAACTAGCTGAGTATAATTTTTTTTAATTTAACCCATAGGTCTCTTTTAAGTATCTCTAAGGGAACAGATAAGAAGAACAGCAGGGTCCAATCTGAGTGTAGTATAATAACGTACTTATTGTTGTGAAAAGACAAATGGTAACTCATGTTGTGACAGTTAATATCAGGCTCCTCACACAGTAAGGGCTTCCAGTGGGCAGTCTCACAACAACTGGGAACCTCAGACCAGGATAGAAACACTGGGTGGATGGATGGATACACCTGCAGGACCAAGAAAACACCCCAGGGGGTGCTAAACTAAGTGCAGCATTAAATGTACTGAGAAACACTAGTAACTTTGCAACTCACATTAGAGGAAGAAATTGCACTTTTTGTATGTAATCTGGACATTCCAGGCAAGTTTTAGGAAGAGGCTCCCCATCCCAGATGCATGAGCTGACCACTCATGGATTACATACAAAAAGTGCCATTTCTACTTCTAATGTGAGTTGCCAATTTACTAGTGTTTCTCAGTACATTGAATGCTGCAATGAGTTTGTCACTCACTGGGGTGTTCTCTTGGTCCTGCAGCTGTATCCATCCATCTACCCAGTGTTTCTATCCTGGTCTGAGGTTCCCTGTTGTTATGAGACTGTCCACCAGAAGCCCTTACTATGTGATGAGCCTGATTTTAACAATGTGAGTTGCCATGTGTATTTTCATCACAATAAATACGCTAACAAAGCACACTTAGAGTGCGCCCTGCTGTTCTAAAAAAGTAACTCCATGGCAATCTGGCACATGTGCCTCCAGCCCTCCACAATGGATGAACTAAATACTTTCTGTAGATCTTCCATTTTTCTACCAGAGTTATCTTGAAAAGGACCAATCTTTCCCCTGACTACCGTTTCCATGGTTTATTTTTTTTTTATTCTTTCTTTAATATTTTACACAATATATAATAAACAAATATCCTTTAACATCACAGCTCTGCTTTCATAACAACACAAAACATCCCAAAGAAAAAAGGAATCTCATACACACCTAATAGTATCCCAACATTTTTTGCTCCTCTTCCCTAACGCCACTGAGACACTTGCCATGGGATCTTAACATTGCTTCCTCTAACATTATTCACAAATTACTATCTAGGCTCCTAAACACTCTTCTTGTCCAGCTATTTACATTAAGCTCTCCTATTCAAGTCTCTTAGTGGTGTTTGGTTAACACAGATCTAAATCCAAGGTTCCTTCAAACCCTTCCCTTCTTACATACTGAACCCTCCAGAATGCATCCTTCATGAAGCATTAATATTCTCCTAAATGTATCCTATCAATTCTTCATAGGCCTTAGACCTCTGAAAATGTAATCATACTCCCCACGTTCCAAAAAATAGATCAACAGAATCTTTCTGGAACTGCAATAATTCTTCCATTACGCATAAACAGTCTACTTTTGTGATCCATTCTTTCATAGTGGAATACATTGTGAGCACTAATCTTTGGAATAAACTCTTTTGCTGCCTTAAGTAAATGAGGAATTAATCATCTCCTACAATACCTTGAAAAAGTATTTATACCCCTTGAAATTTTCCACATTTTGTCATGTTCCAACCATAAACATAAATTGATTTTATGTGATAGACCAACAAAAAGTGGCACATAAGTGAGAAGTGGAAGGAAAATGATAAATGGTTTTCAAATTGTTTTACAATTAATATCTCAAAAGTGTGACATGCATTTGTATTCAGCCCTCTTTACTCTGATACCCCTAACTAATATCTAGTGGAACCAATTTCCTTCAGAAGTCACCTAATTAGTAAATAGAGTCCACCTCTGTGTGATTTAATCTCAGTATAAATATAGCTGTTCTGTGAAGCCCTCAGAGGTTTGTTAGAGAACATTAGTGAACAAACACCATCATGAAGGCCACGGAACACACCAGAAAGGTCAGGGATAAAGTTGTGGAGAAGTTTAAAGCAAGGTAGGTTATAGAAAAAAAATATCCAAGGCTTTGAACATCTCACGGAGCACTGTTCAATCCATCATCCGAAAATGGAAAGAGTATGGCACAACTGCAAACCTACCAAGACATGGCCGTCCACCTAAACTGACAGGTCGGGCAAGGACAGCATTAATCAGAGAAGCAGCCAAGAGGCCCATGGTAACTCTGAAGGAGCTGAAAATATCCACAGCTCAGGTGGGAGAATCTGTCCACAGGACAACTAATAGTTGTGCACTCCCCAAATCTGGCCTTCATGGCAGAGTGGCAAGAAGAAAGCCATAAGAAGTCCCATTTGCAGTTTGTGAGAAGCCATGTGGGAGACACAGCAAACATATGGAAGGTGCCCTGGTCAGATGAGACCAAAATTTAACTTTTCGGCCTAAAAGCAAAACGCTATGTGTGGCGGAAAATGAACACTACACATCACCCTGAACACACCATCCCCATGGTGGTGGCAGCATCATGTTGTGGGGATGCTTTTCTTTAGCAGGGACAGGGAAGCTGGTCAGAGTTGATGGGAAGATGGATGGAACCAAATACAGGGCAATCTTATAAGAAAACCTGTTAGAGTCTGCAAAAGACTTGAGACTGGGGCGGAGGTTCACCTTCCAGCAGGACAACGACCCTAAACATACAGCCAGAGCTATAATGGAATGGTTTAGATCAAAGCATATTCATGTCTTAGAATGGCCCAGTCTAAATCCAATTGACAATCTGTGGCAAGATTTGAAAATTGCTGTTCACAGATGCTCTCCATCCAATCTGACGGAGCTTGAGCTATTTTGCAAAGAAGAATGGGCAAAAATGTCACTCTCTGGATGTGTAAAGCTGGTAGAGACATCCCCAGAAAGACTTGCAGCAGTATTTGCAGCTAAAGGTGGTTCTACAAAGTATTGACTTAGGGGGCTGAATACAAATACACACCACACTTTTCAGATATTTGTAAAACAATTTTGAAAACCATTTATCATTTTCCTTCCACTTCAGAATTATGTGCCACTTTGTGTTGGTCTACCAATAAAATCCCAATAAAATACATTTATGCTTTTGGTTGTAACATGACAAAATGTGGAAAATTTCAAGTGGTATGAATACTTTTTCAAGGCACTGTATACCGTTCCACCAAAATATCTTTTTATGGAGTAGGCATGTCCATGGTTTAATGGGCATTCTCATTCCTTTTATTTTATAATTATTTCCCCCCCAGTACACCTGTATTCTAGGACATCTCCGCCATATTTGTGCAAGTGTTCCCTGAGAATTACATCCCCTCCAACACAAAGGTGATATTTCTGTCTGGAGTCTATGGGCCCTAATTGGTGTTACATACAATCTTGCCAACTAACCATGGTTTATAAATGCACCATCAGTCCAAGGTAATCCTAAATGCAGTCTAAATACATGTCTTGTTTTACCAAATGTACAGTATGTTTAGGATTTCAAAGAAATATTCT